CCCCGTGGTAACTCAGTCTAAATCGAGGGTAAAAAATCTCCTATCTGGAGATACAACTAAAGCCAATAAAATGGTAAGTGGAGGAGGAGAAGATGGGAAGGAATCATGCCTTCTTGGTTTCACCTACCTTGATGGCGAAGGAGAGTACTATGGTTGACTGTAGGAGGTTCGCACCCACCACCACCACCACCTTCCACGATAATCTGACAATAAAATTTACCTCCTGACTGGCCATGGTATGAGACAGCTTAGAGAGGTCGCCAAATGACAGACTGGCAAAGACCAAGAAATATGCCTTAGTCACTAGCTTGGTAACCAGCCTAAAGTCAGGACTGCACCAACTGTACGGCCTTGTTCAGGGACAATAGAAATTCATTCCATTGGTAGCTCTCTCCCTCTCTCTCTTCCAACTTCCGTGACTTCTCTATTGTTAATCGAGTGCGGCCGAGTGGAAGACTGAGAGGGTGTTGTGAGGTTAGGGAGTGGGGAGTGCGAGGATGAGGATGCGCAACAAGGAGACAGTCAACAATAATTGCAGGCCCACACAATACGCGCTGTGCTCCAAATCAGACCGCATGAAAGTGCAAGCACTGCAACATATTCGTAAACAATTGTTAGGACTAAAGGTCAAGCAAGTTTCATCGAGTAGTTAGATTTCGTCAATATTTCTTTGGTGATTTTACCTCTATCCATTAAAGAGGACAGGCAGAATTTTGACTTGAGCAAGAGGGAAACAGATAATCAAGTGCTTTGTTAGCCCTCCGTCGAGGTATGCAGCTCTCAAAGAGGAGGTGGCATGCAGTCGGTTCATCGGTGAGAGGAATCATTCCAGGTTCGTGTAGCCCACTTGACAAGGTCTGCCCGTCTCTTCCACTTCAAATGCCAAGGCCAACATAGTGGTTGGAGGAAGTCCAATGCACGAGGTGAATGCATTTATACTTACATTCAAATCTCCACATTCACCAATTTGGTGTGGAGATAAACTGTATTTGATGGTCAAGGTCGTCCAAGATGACGAGAAGATAACATGTGGCACGATCATGGCCAGATACACCTGTACATGCATACATAGCAGTCTATGCGGAAGAGTTGTTGATGAGCTACCCCTTCCAGAGAGGATACGGTAATCCGCTTGGTTAACAGCTTGACCAATAGACATTGTCATCAAGGGTGACACGTGTCATCAAAGAAACGGCGCTTTTTAAACAAGCTCATTTACACGACCTCCCTTCCAAAAGGTGGAAAGAAGGAATGCAGACAGAAATGCTGCTCTGGAGGAGCCTAGACATCCGTAGCCAATGTAAACTAATTGAGGAGGTCATCTTCTCTCCACTTATAGCAGGGGAACAGCTTACTCTGCAGAGGGGAAAAATTCACTACAGGAGAATCTCTTTCGGTGGAATTCAAAGTGGGCAACTGATGTTAGCTAGCTAACTATCAGTTCTAGCATTAGGACGTTTATTCCTCATATAACGCTGCACAGATTTCCGGAAGCCTCATACTGGGTCTACTTGACGGTGAGAGTCAGCCAGTCGAGTGCTGCATTTGAGGCGAGGAAGAGGTCTGAAAAGTTAAAACATTAAAAAATAAGATCAAATTACGGAACGCGACTTTGACTGAAGGACGACGAGAAGGATGTGTGGTGCAAATACTGCAGTGCGACACGGAATAGAAAGGAGGAGGAGGGGAAGTCAGGATGTGGGCTTAACAAATCTGCTCCATTTAAGCAAGAGTATTTCGCAATTGTAGAATTTTATGCTCCAACCCACGATGCATGCCTCTATTTTGCATCTCCAAATCTATTCTGCATCTGGTTTGATTTTTATGTCCCTGCCTATTCGGCAATATATTTTAATTCATCACAACCCTGTGTTGTGACTGCCAGAGCAACCAAGTAGTCATACGATACTGCTAGAGAGACCTGCAAAACCAGCTGATAAGTTGTGTTGCCTTTTTTTCACCCGTGCATTTGAATCTGCAAAAAGGATTCTCTGAATGTCACTTAGAGCTATGTCATGGTGAGGGGGAGTGTTAGGTGAGAGGGAAGAAAAGACAAAGCGATGATTTGTTTATACTAAGATTGACAGATGTGCGATAAACTCTATGCCAATTGGCGCAGCACACACTCGAGACGAATTCTACTGATGCCTCACTAGTAGTACATCATTGCCATGTGACCATGGGACAAATGCCAAAAGGTGACAGTCATGACTTGGCGACCTTTCATCAGGAAAGTGCACACGATGAAGGTAGAAGTAAGCCAGTCTCCTCTCCTTCGCATCCTAGAGCGTCTTCTCAAGGTGTACAAAGTACAAGTTGTGGCTCAAGAATAGAATAATCTTCGCGTAGACAAGCAGTGTAAGTCATTCCTACCACGTCAATCGCTACACCAAGCAATCACCTATTTGACTCATCCCGCTTATCACCCCCACCACATTGTTCAAGCCACGTTCAGCGTTGTGCATTATGCAAACGCAAATTTGTCAGGTGGCATTTAGAATGTGCAACCCTCCCCACCGTATCCTTGTCTGACAGAGAAGATGTCAAGCATCCTTACCCAAGCTATCTGTTGGCAAACTGCCTTGCTGTAGATTGAAATCTCTCGCGATCAGTCATACCTTGCTTTACTCAATGGAGATTGGAGCTACCATGAAAAGTTGACCCAATCGTTGTGAACCCTCTCCTCCACATCGCCATCCACATTGGGCACCTCCCACCACCTCATCCTACTTATTCATTCCCTTAAGTACAAGGTTTCTTTAAGGCGTCTGAGGATGGATTTGCCACCCAAATTACCTTAGACGAAGTTATAAGAAGTATTAGTGTTGAAGCAGTTCTACCAACCCAGGAAAGGAATGCAAGAATGCAAGCATAGGCGACATGGTCAGAGCTGCACACCGCCTGCTGGCGTCCCCTACTGCTGCAATAGTACAAGCCAACATCAATTAAAGAAGAGTAGGAGAGAATAAGGATTGGAAGCACGTATTTAGGACAAATAAAGACCATTGCGAGGGTTATAACACTCTCTTTCCCTCCATCTCTTTCATCTTCTCCCTATACTTCTCCTCATCCTTCTCCTTTTCCTCCTACTTGTTTTCCTTCTCTTTGTATTCTTGCGATTGTTGCAAATCCACCCTCAATCGTGCTTTCCCCATCAGCCCACGGATCCATCCTGAGAGACATCTTACATCCTTAAACATGTCCGCAGGTTTGGAATCATGGCACGGTGCCTCAGGAAAAGTAGTAGTTACTCCAAATACCTTCGATTTGGTTCTTCTCCTGGGCATTCATTCACGAATGAGGACGAGGAGTGTAGCTAGACGATAAACTGCTACCCAAACGAAAACCTCTAGTGTCTGTCAAGCTTTCTGCAGTGAATTTGTCAAAGCCGCTCGGTTCGTCTGGACAACAAGGCATATCAGGTGAATGCTGACGATCTTCTCGTAACCCTTCTGTTCACCTAAACTAAAGGAGTAGGAATGCTGCGCCAGCTGCAAGCCTTGCATCTTCGGCTTTGTTCAGTGAAGGCATCAAGGAAAAATGGACAAGTGTGGGTGAGGAGAAATGGCAGTGCACCAAGCAATGATTGACAGTAAACTTGGTTTAACTGCTTGTCGCATCTACAAACCACGGGAATAGAATGCGTTAGCTTTCAACTGTCATCATTTGCCGAATTTATCATTTTCGACATAAATCAGGCCGAGAAGCAAGCCCAGTGGATGCAGCAGCCACTAGGACGTACGTCTACAACACTGGCACCGTTTGGTTGAGGACGACGTCGTTGACAGCGTTGGCAAGTAAGTCACAGACAGTGATGGCTAGACTGAGGAGAACTTCCGCTCTGTAGAATACACGAGTGAAGGCGTGTGGATCAGTGTGCTCACACAACTAGCTGTTGGATACGCACAGGAAAGGCTAAAGGTAAGGCCGTCATGTTAGCAACAAAGGCGATCACGAAGAGTGACATTTTGGAGCAAATGCGACCACTGATGATGTTTGTTAGCCTCATTTAAAAGGACATGTTGAATTATGGACAGAGGTGAGATATGATTTTACTGACCATATTTGTGGGCACTTTCTCGGAGCAAAGGCTAACAGTTCGACAAGAATTTATTTGAGGTCTACAAAAACTTTTTCGGGTACAATTAGACTAAAATTGTCGTCGCTGGTAGCGGTACAGTGTGAAGGTTGGACACAGCAAGTGTAGCGTTTGAAAACCGCAAGGAAAAATGGACCTATTTGAGTGGCGCAATGTTACAGTCATTTTGTTATTTCCACGTAAATGGAAAAAGACAAATAAAAAACTGGTTCATTAGCATTTCAGCTATTTCAGAATCAGCAAATGTGGGGACTGTTTAGACTGCACCCTCGGTTGTTTAGTTAAAAAAAACCTGCAGCGCTAATTTCGTTCACTGATTTCTTATTTGGAAATGCAAAGACTGGCTGAAAATTCTGTGATGCCAAAGCAAACAAATTTTCTTCAAAACAACTTTTGGGATTCAAGTAACTCAAAGTGGTGGCGGTCTACTTTTTAGTCTAAATGTGTACATTAGTCTTGCAAGTGCTGCTTACAAGAATTCTGATGCTTGGACCACTTTTTCATATCTAAAGCAAGCAAATGAGTTAACTTGAAAGTTGCAACTGGGAATTACTGTAGTTTGGTATTACAGCCATTGATGCTGATGGTGATTCTGACGTCTTTATAATCTTCCACGCATTCTGTCTAGTTAAATAGTACTGTTGATCTTCCATTCGTGACGGACCAAAAATGGCACAATGGAAGAGCAAATCAAAAATTCCCTCAAACAGGAACAAACACCACATGTTAGTTCCCCTTTTTAAACACAAGGGCTGTAACTTTGGAACTTGCTGCTGTTTCAATCACCCCTCTCCTACTTGCAAAGTGACTGCGGTGTGGGAAGATGTCATAGCCTGGAGGAAGTCTACTCTCATGATATGGCTGACTGCGATCCCAGTCAACCTGGTCATTTTTAGACACGTATCAGGAAGGGGATGAAACACTTTGGCTAGATCGCACTCCTTGCTAAGCGCCAAGTCTGTCTCACTTCACCTCATGTTAAGCACACTTGAACCTCTCCTCCAAGAAAGCGTCAAGATGGATGATTTCGAGGGACCGCGTCAGGCAGAGTGAGGTGAGCTGATGGAATAACCAGCCATCCACTCACTGAATGGCGACTTCGTCTCAACGACGTCTCACTAGTTGTGTGTTTCAGTGACAGTGCTAAGCATGGTGATGCCATGGCGTTCCGATCCGACGGCACAACAGTCACCTCTATGAATAAACATCTGGCTGGATGGTAACCTGCCTTTCTGCGATGTCGAAATCACCACGAGGCAACCGATTCTTCATCATTTTTAAATGGCCTGGTTTTCACATAAAAACTCTCGTTTCACATTAGACGAATTTTGTTCCAATTCATCCATGCAAAACTTTTAAGTTAATTGAAAACACCGATGGGTGTATAAACTGAAAAACAAACGCAAAAACTTTTGACAGATTTCAAGCGTTATGGGGAAGGAGGATGGCGGTATGTCATTGTCAGGTTTGCCTACCTGCCTACTCACCTCAGAGACGACAGCAATCCTGGGCTGGCATGGCTGACAAATTGAGAAGTTAAGCGACGAAAAGGCAGAAAAGCTAATATCATTCCTGCGTTCTTTTTAAAAGAGCTTGATCCACAACATCTATTGATTTAATTTCAGAATAATGTGGTTAATGATAACCATGTAAGCCGAAAGAGGTAGATGGATTGCTGTGTATATTCATATGCATTTCTCATTCATCTGTTTTAGTTCACATCCACGACAAATTATTTTCTTCGAGTTTTCATACTCATAGCATTAAAGGAAGCAATTTTAAAATGGGAAAGAAAAGCAAGTAGTGGCAGACCTACCGATTACATGCCTAAGCTATCGGCCATCCACAGAAGGCAGCATTAATTTGGCGTCTGGTGAGAATTCCCTTCAAACAATAAAATGGGTTGTATGGGCAACTTTGATGCTGATTCTTGTTCAGAATGTATGATAAGTGAAAAAATTAGCTTTCAGTAAAAAACAAGACTGCCTGTGCATGACAGATGAGGCAAGTGGGTGAGAAAGGCAGTGTGTAGAGGTAATGGACGTATCTGCTTTGCAGACCACTAACTCATCTGCGTGAATCAAAAATCACATTTCCTTCTCCAATTCCGCCTCCTCCCTTCTCTATTTCCCCTTCCCCATTCAAAGGTGTTATCTACAGAGGCCATGGGGGGATTGTAAAGGCTGACCACATTCGGCTCCTTCACAATGCCAGCACGACACCAATTTGTGTGTTAATTTCGTATTTCCCCTGTTCGCCTTTCGCCTTACCCATGGCTGTGATGGTAACAAAGTGGATTATTGCAGAGATTAGCGTCCACCTCAGTTCACTGATGGCCGACTCTGCTCACCTCCCTGTTTCTGTCCTCATGAGTGTGTGAGTTTATGTGTGTGTGTGTGTATATATGTGGAATGAGGGTGTTCACTCTAGAAATACTTTCGTGGCCACATTTACGGCTGGGTGATAAGTGAGATGCACACATTGATAAAGACGCAGAGGTTATAAAACGGAGGAATTTTATGACTCGCCTCGTTAAGTCCACTCCTCTCACCCCCCAGTCAGGGGTCAGTGCAGAAACCAATTCCTCCACTTTATTATGACAATTGACTGCACTTATCCTCTCCTGTCTTATCCCACAGAATAATTAATTCCTCTCTATTCGCGTGTGTGTGTGTGTACATGTACCCAGATTTCACCAGCCTTGCCTCCAAAACAACCATATAGTCAGGCAACAGAAAACAACAGGGAGACAACACCACATGTGACTTTTTTCTTAACGGAATCTTGCGGAAGAGAAGGAAGAAGGAAAGGGGTCGTAGAAATACAGACAGCAAAGTTGGTCTGACGTGTGCACCTCGTGCGACCTGCATGCATTACAACGTGTTGATGGCAGGAGGTAAGTAAGTGGGTAGGTGTGTGGTTAGACGGATGGAAAAGTACAGCTTTTTTAGCTCTCCAAGGAGATAAATTACAATCTTGGCAAATAAGTAGACAGGTGTGGAAGTGTTTATTCTGCAAGTCCCTACATATGCATTGATGCAGGCAGTAAATTACTTGGAGCGGAGAGGTGTTGTACTGCCACTGCCAGTGACAATGTCGCTTGCCTGGCCAATGGAACTTGTGGTAGGCAAGCAGATGCTGGTGCCTTCAACAGAGGTGTAGAAGGTATTTCCTTTCAAAGAGGTGAGTAGCGTGGCAAGTGTCAATCAAGAAGGTAAATGCAGCATTGACTTTGGGCAACGCGGGTTGTCTTAACCACATTCTACTTCAGTACGTAGCACGGACTTCCACACTACTTCAGCCTAGCACGACTTCAGCGAGGGTGTTCAGGGGACTCCTGGTTGGAAGTAAACATCAAATGATCAAGGTTATATGGAAGCTGCGTAGAACAGAGTCAGTCCACACCTTAACGATATATGGAGTCTACTTGGCCCGTTTATCTCTATAGACACTTGTTTAAACAAGCAGATGCTGCACGAGGATAGAGTTGTAAGCAGTTCCTTTTAACGCTCGGCCTTGATGACTGGAACTTGGAGATAGATGACACCTCTGCAATACGAGAAATTTTGACTTCAATAAGAAAAACATCCAGATCTGTTCCCTAAAATTGTAACCTCTTGGCAACAAACATCGCCATTTCGAGTTTACTGAGTTCTCTGCATTTATGAGGCTCGTCTTTACTTTTAAGGAAATAGGGATTAATATAGGGGAAGTCTATCCTCATCATATAACTGACGGCATCTCCAATCAGTCAGCGCATTTTCAGAGACGTGTCAGGAAGGGGATGATACACTTTGGCTAAACGACACACCATGCTAAGTGCCAAATCTGTCTCATTTTACCTGATGTTAAGCATGCTTTCACCTCCTATTTCGAGGTACCACCTTAGACAGAGTCCGATGAGATGATGGAACAACCAGTCATCCACTCACTGAATGGCGACTTCGTCTGAATGACGACTCACCGACTGTGAGCATCAGTGACAGTGCTGAATATGGTGGAGTCGTGGCGTTACAATCTCGCAGCACAACATTCATCTCTATGGATAGACATCTGGCTGGATGGTAACCTATCTATTCACAATGTCGAGGCAATCGATTCAGCATCATCCCCAAATGTCTCGTTTTGACATATATGCACACGTTTAAAATTAACAAAATAACTAAAAACGAATTTGTAGATATGAAGTTAAAGTGGAGTTCAAAATCTCTAGATAGCTTAGCAAATTTATTTGAGAAGTAAAATAGGGGTGTTATTGTCATGTATACCTACCCACCTACGTCTCACCTCAGAGATGACAGCAATTCTGGGCTGACAGGGCAGCCATATAAGAAAATAATGCAAATGGAAACCGCACAATGTACATCAGGAGAGGCAGATGGACTACTGTGTCTCTTCACTAGCATTTCTCATTCGTCTGTTTCAAATTAAAGCCACAACGAAATGTCTTCTCTCTATTTTTCATTCAGCTAGCGATAAAGGAACAATGTCTGAAGTGGGGGAAACAAAGAGATAGGCAAGCGGTGGCAGGCCTACCAATTGCATGTGTATCCTGTCAGGGCGGACTTTTCCACCATCAAACGACCATCTACAGAAGGCAGCATTAATTAGTCCAATCTGGCAGGAATTCCATGCAAACAATAAAATGAGCTGTATGGGTAAATTCGTTGATGGTTCTCTTTCCAAATGCAAAATCAGTAAGAAAACTTGGCCTTAAGTGCGTAAATGACAGGATTGCATGTGCATGACAGCTGAGACAAGTGGGTGAGAAAGGAAGTGCGTAGAGGTGCTGGGTGTAGCTGCTTTGCAGGCCACCCACTTATCTGCGTGCATCAAATATCACATTTTCTTCGCTACCCCCTCCTCCCGTTTTCCTCCTCCTCTTCCTGTCTTCTCATTTCCTTTCCAAAAGTGTTATCAATATGGGACATGGAGGGATTGTAGCGGTCCACCACATTCAGCTCCTTTACAATGCCAGCACGGCACCAATTCTTGTGTTGATTTCGTGTTTCCCTTGTTTGCCTTTTGCCTTACCCATAGCTGTAATAGTAGCAAAGTGGATTATGAAGAGATCGGCGTCTACGTCTATTCGTTGATGGCCACTCTGCTCACCTCCCTGGTTCTGTCCTCGTGAGTCTGAGTTTATGCGTGTATATGTGTGTATGTGTGTGACAGGAGGGTGTTTGCTTTGAAGGCGCTTTCGTGGCCACTTTTACGACTGGGTGACAAGTGAGATGCACACATTAACAAAGATGCAGAGGCCATAGAATAGAGGAATTTTATGATTCACATTATTCGGTCCACTCCGCTCACCTCTCAGGCAAAAGGCAGGATATATCCAACCTCAGCCTTGCAAAATAACTCCTTATTTTAGTTACTAGGCCTCCCACATTTAAGGTTCTGCTTTATTCTCTTAGTCAATAGATACCCCACCCCTAAGATTTTGCTTTGCCTTCCTTGGAAAGCTGTAAGATGTAACCATTATGCCGTGGTAATTATTTTGTGTCACATATACGTGATAGTGGCAGCAGTATTCGCAGTATGTGAACTGTAAAGTCAGAGACCAGTGCAAAAGTCAATTCCTTAACTTTGTTATGGTGGTTGACTGCACTTATTCTGTCCTGTCCTGTCCTCTCCCGAATCATTTATTCTCCTCTGTGCGTGTGCGTGTTTGCGTGTACCCAGAATGCACCAGACTTTCCTCTCAAACAGCCATAAAGGCAGGCAACAGAAAACGATTGGAAGACTACACGACATGTGACTCTTTTCTCAACTGATTCCTGCTGACAGAAAGGAGGGAGCAAAGAGGTTGTAGGAATACAGACAGTAAAGTTGGCGTGACGTGTGCACCTCGTGCGACCTGCATGCCCCACCACGTGCTGATAGCCGGAGGTAAGTAACTGAGTAGGTAGGCAGGTTGGTTGGTGGATGGGTACAGAGCTTCTTCACTCCCAACGGAAATAAATTATAATCGTGGCAAATAAGTAGACAAGTGTAGAAGTGAATTATCGTGTAAGTCTCTAAATGTGCATTGGTGTAGGCAGTAAATTACTTGGAGTAAGAGGCGCTGTACTGCCAATGGGTCGCCTTGGTGCCTTCAATGGAAGTGCAGTAGGTTTTTTCTTTTCAAGAAGTGAGCAACTTGGCAACTATCAATCAAGAAAGTAAATCCAGCATTGACTCTGAACAACTCGGGTTTTCTTAACTCCACTCTATTTCAGTACGTATCACGGACTTCCACACTACTTCAGCCTAGCACGACTTCAGCGAGGGTGTTCAGGGACTCCTGGTTGAAAGGAGACATCAAATGAACAGAGTCAGTCCACACCTTGACGATATATGGAGTCTACTCGGCCCGTTTATCTCTATAAACATCTGTTTAAACAAGCAGATGCTGCAAGAGAATGGAGTTGTAAGCAGCAGCTTTAAATGCTCGGCCTTGATGACTGGAAGTAGAAGATAGATGGCGCCACTACAATACGAGAAGAAATTTTGACTTCAATAAGAAAAACATCCAGATCTGTTCCCTAATGTTGTAACGCCTTAGCAACAAACATCGCCATTTCGTGTTTATTGACTCTTCTGCATTTATGAGGCTCGTCTTTACCTTTAGGTATAAAAGCCATTTACATTATGCTCATCTTTCCCTTTTCTGTTGAAGTGGAAAAGCTACTTGGAGGTGTCTCACGGATGGTACGTTAAAGGACTTTTTGGTGGTAAACACCACATTCTTTCTTAAATCTTTCAAGCTACTCCGCTTTCAGCTTGGCCACAATGAATGAAAAAGAGTAGCCTGCTGAGTGATTGGCTGTGTGACCGACTGTTCAAAATACGGAATCGTGATAAGAAGTGGATTATGTAGGAGAACAAGCATGACATTAAATACTCCCCCAACAATCCACTCATC